TATACTCTACAATTAAGGCATCATTAAATTACATACTCTACAATTAAAACGTCATTAAATTGTATACTCTATAATTAAAACGTCATTAAATTATATACTCTACAATTAAAGCATCATTAAAACATATACTCTACATTTAAAACATCATTAATAACATATACTCTACAATGAAAACATCATTAAAACATACCCCACCATTAAAACATCATTAAATCATATACTATACAAATTAAAAGTCATTAAAAAACATACTTTACAAATAAAAAATAATTAAAACAAACAATATAAAGCCAGGTCACTTGTAGTATTGGAAATTACGACATTGAAAATCAGTAAAAGATTTTTATATAGGATAGACAACCACGGCCGTTTTTCACAGATTCACTTGTTATATTTTTGGAGGATTGCTTTATGGTAGCACAAAAATGACAATAATATATCTACGTTTCTCTAAGGTAATAATACATGAAGAAGAGCAATATGATAAAATATATATATATATATTAGAACCCTTTCTTGTTACCGTTTTCCCGACCAATAATCTTCAGAGTCGCGCTCCAGGAATAGGCATTTTAAAATGTACTTAAGTCATCAGAATCCACCCTACATCAAGATCTCAGCAGACGACAAATATTTAAAATTGAAATAATGCCCTAAAAGCATAGATTGTTTAGGTTCTTTTATTCTCGTTAATGACCGAAGCCGGTCAGTGAAAAAGATCAATGTCTGAACTGTTGAAAGTTCTAATATGATTTTGATTTTAAAATATATAAATTAAACACAAAAAAATTAATTCAAAAATGTTATAAACATAACTTGTCTGTTATCGTCAAGAAAGCTTTTTTAAATGAATATTTGTGGCCTAGTTAAATCCTATTTTGTGTGTGTGTGTGTGTGTATGTGTGTGTGCCCTGATTACAGAAATATACTACAGAAGCTTTTGTGAAATTGCAGTGAAATCTTATAAGTTACTTTGATGTATACTCCAGTCTTTATTGCATTTCTAATTTGTGAATTGCATTACGTAGATTGCAAACTTTTAAGAAATTCATATGCTAAGAATGTATGTTTACTTTATTTCTTAAGAAATCTAATGACATTTTACAGATTTCTAATGTGTGTGCGCGTGTATGCGTTTATGTTTGTTTTTAAGACAAAAATATAACGTTCATTATTTCCAAAGACAAAATTGCTATGTTTATCTGAAAGTTATAATTTTACATGTGGAATGAGGACCGCTAGTGTTTTTGGTATGCTATGTATATTACGTTCTAGATAATATATCATTTAGTCTGTCATATTACCTTCAGCTCATGTGTGCTTATAGTTAATGTGGTCACGTGATCGATGTTTGAGCTTAATCGCGCCAGTTCTTTTGCAGCCGTTACAGTGTATACATGACCGCTCCGCTTGCAGTGTGTACCGAGGAGGAACAAAGAGCAGTGAACTGATTTCATTGGAGGAAGATGTATCAGGGGCTGAAATTTACCGGAGGTATTTAATACAATACGGCGACAGTGCACTACCGCGTAGAAGTATATATATATATATATATATATATATATATATATGAAGAAATATAGTCTTAAGGTGTGCTATATTTATAGGATAAAGTGCTCAATATCAGAGATAGAGCGTGTGTAAATATAAAAGTAAACATAGAAGACAACACAGACAGTTTCATGATATATGCAATCGTCAGGCCACGTGTGCTGACGATTGTATATAGCATGAAACAGACTGTCGCCTCTAAGTGTTGACTTCTATGTTCACTTTTAGTCACTTTCTCACAGACGCACCGTCGCCTCCCTCTGTCTGTTCTACAAATACTTTCATGGAAATTGCTCCGAGGAACTGCATTCGCTGGTTCCCAAACTTCATGAGTTCAAGCGCCCTACGAGGCTGGCATCCCGCTCTCACCCCTTCACTGTCGAAACTCCTAAATGTAGCCGTCTCTTCTACTCTAATAGCTTCATGTCTCGCACCTCTCGCCTGTGGAATTCTCTTCCCTTCTCCTGTTTCCCTGAGAGTTATAATCTCCAGCTATTCAAGTGTAATGTCAATCGACATCTCCAGTTGCCTTAATCTATCTACTACCCTCATCCTTTCTTCTATCACTCCTATCTGATCTTCCTATTTTCTGTAACCCCTTGCGTCCTAGTGGCTTCCCGTCTTGCTTGGGGTGAAATGCTTAAAAAAATAAATATATATATATATATATATATATATATATATATATATATATATATATATAATTGTGTTATATTTAACAACGTGGGAATATTTGTTGGTATATTTTTATGGGCTGGGATAAGTTAACTTATAAACTTAAAGTGCGTATAAAATAGTTAATATGCGTAACAATTCATTTATATTTGAATCAAAGCGAGACTGTGATAATTTATTGAATATGTAATGAAAGAAGAAGGCATAGAAAATTGGATATTCAAAGTGTAACTAATTTTACTCGCACAGAAAATCCTTATACGGACAACCGCCAAAAATTAAATGCCTACTAGACACTCAATTACTACCATCAAACATTCGCTTAAAAATTAGAATACCATGATGAAAAAAATGCCCCAAACGTAATAAAATCAAAGTTTTATCGCCAAAACCAATCTTTTATCAATAAGAGGAAAGACCATAGGTTTTATATGATTAAATTATATTTCTTATTTCTTTTTAAAACGATCGAAATGTTTGTTAAAAATTGATTCTTTTTTGCTTTTCGTCATCCTGCTGGACAAAGATTAGTCTAGGAGATTTTAACGTCTTTTTGCGGTGAAAAATAAATTGATTTGGAAATCCTTGCAAAATTCAAGAAAATAATTCAAGAATTATTCACAAATTAAATAAATTACTTTTTAAACGTTTCTTATTTTTAGAAAATATTGATTAAAAATATTTGTATATCAGTTATCCATTCCTACTTATTTAATTTTAGGAAATTTCGAGAAATTCATTTTTGTAGTGTTTAAAATTTATATAAGTAAACTTGATAAGACACCAGAAGTGTTGAAACAAAATGGATATTTTTGTAGTGATTTTATAACATATTTATGTTATAATGTTCTAATAAATTACATTTGCTCTACTCTGTACTGAGCACTCTTTTAAGAATAGCATTTTTTGGTTATTGAAATTTATATACACATACAACGACAACAAAAAAAAAATCGTGGATTTACCACATCGCTAAATTCTCATTTTAAATACATAAACAATAACTCTAGTACACAATTTACATTATTCATACTATTGTCCTCATCTTTGTCGCCATGTTTATCACAACGTTTCGGACGTGGTACGCTCCGGTCTTCTTCAGGTGGTGAGAATGTCGAACTGAACCACTGGATCTAATTAACGCCTTTATCCACTGTGCCATGTGTCCTTGAGGATATCTTTGTAAATTATTATAAACGTAATGTCTTCAGCAATCATTTTTACCAGTGCTCATATTGCGATTTTTGTTGTTATTATCGCTTTTCTCTGGCACTCCTTATTAATAGTTCCCATATTGTATTCATTTCTATGCTTGGTCAGCTCAGGAGATTTTTGTGGCCTAGCATATGTGCTGATTCCTTAAGTTTACGAATTTTCCAATGATGTTCTTTGTCTATGATCTCAACTTGATCCCACAGAGGGCGGTGCTCTTCCTTTTTCTCTTCATATGTGGTCAGCCATGCCTAATTTTCCCGCTTCCCCTCGTGTTACAGCTTTCTGGTGTTCTTGAAGCCCTACCTCAGAAACATAGACAATAACTGAGGTGTTGTGACACAGCTCAGTTCAAAATTATGTAACAGCCAATAAATAACTTATTAAAAAAAAAAAGAAAAAAACGTTTTGGTACACACTGCATTTATTTCATCTTGGAGTTTGCCTGGAATGAAAAATATACGCCCTGATGATGAAAACGTGAAATTTTCGAAAATATTCGATCTAGCAACATCAAATCTATCTGACAACAAATTAAACATTAGGATCACTTTATTAATGAATTGTTAGTAAGTTAATACCTTATTAAGTCATGTTAGCGAAGAGATTTTGCCATTAATTACATTAACATTGCTAATTAATTCTTTGCATAATTACCTCTTTATGATATATATATATATATATTTGTGTGTGTTTGATAGATAAATAAATGAAAATACAACCGAGATCATATTTTAACAAATATATTTACCAAAATTACATAAAAATATCTTGAAATGTTAAAGAGTAAATCTATTCAATAAATCCGGCATTGGCTTCAACCACTTCCTCCGATGACTTCGGAATCTCCTGCATCTCTTCTGGACGGTCTCCTTGTTTAAGTTGGTGAAAGCTGACATAATCCTTGCCTTCATTTCATCATTGATGTTACAAAGAGTTTTTTTTTCTGGGGTGGGTCTTTGATTCAACTGCGCCACACACGTAATAATCAAAGTGGTTGCAGTCTGTGGAATTAGATGCTCATAGATAAGGTGTGATGTGATCCTAGAATTTGTCTGACAGTCGTGACTGGGTTCTCTTTCTTGCCTGGCATGGTACAGAGAACTGTTACCAGATATAGAGTCTTCCAGCTGCCACCTTCCTGAGCCAGGGACGCACTACCTCCTCAAAGCACTTGATGTAGGCCTCTGTGTCGCATGTGAGGCCAAGACCAACATATTCGAGAGTTCTTTTCTTATCAGAACTATCAGAAGTGAGTTTTCCGAGTTGTCGTACCTTCGTAATCACCATTAGACTCATCCGACTCTTTCCGAATCCTTTGCACTGACACACAAACAATCTGTAATGATCGTATTGGAGGTTCCAGCACGAATGTCAAGCAGTTCATCATGTTGTTTCCAAATTTCTGGCGGAATGAATTGCGTCATGGGGCTCTTTTTTACACGGATTTTGCCCAGCTGAGCCTATCATACGTGTTTTGTGAAAAAAATAAAAAAAGGAATTTAAAAAATGACTACCAAAGAGACTGTTAAACACAATAAAAAAAAATATCAACGTTTGGGATGCTTTCTCAGAAGCAGGATTTGGTAATTTGTCCAAAATCAAGGAAATCATTGACCAGTATCAATAACACAATATTCTTGTTAATCAAATGTAGCTTTCTGCTAAAAAAAGAAGCTTTTTGGACAAGGTCAATACTTCACTTTCCAAGACGATAACAATCCTAAACGTACTACCTTAAAGAATAAACGTTATCTAAAAGCGAAGCGCGACGAGGGTAAATTGAAACTCTTCCAGTGGCTTAGACAAAGCCCTGAACATAACCTAAATGAAAATATTTGGGCGATAATGGACAAGCTTTCCCGTAATAAGAGAGTTTACAAAGATGATGAGATTTTTTTCGAAGTAAAGAAATTCTGGAAAATATGGCGAAGGATGTTGACTAACTAAAGAATTTAGTCAGTTGCATGCCACGCAGAAAAAAACCCGTAATGGAAGCAAAAACTTACCCAACAAAATGCTGAATCATTTTTTGACTTGTATAATTTACATAAGTAGACCTATATTAATACTTTGTATTAATAACCGAATTCTATTACTCATTTGTCTTGTAATAAAATACAAAATCAATTTTCCATTTCGTGTTCAATTTGCGTAAAATCTTCTACATATATATATATATATATATATATATATATATATATATATATATATATATATATATATATATATACATGAAAAATTTCAACAGACAAGGTGCTTTGATTCCTAAATTTTTTTTATACAATTTCTCATGTGATCTAATATGTTTTTCTTTTCAGATGATAAATTATATAAAAACTCTCCGAATGTTCTTTTTTTTCGGCCGCTTTCTGATATACATTTAGCCATTTTCAAAGATGAAATATTTTAACTTTTAAGTAAGAAATAGTTAAATTGCATGTAAATATATATATAATACTATCATTTTTCAAAACAGGGTCAAGACATTATGTCTATGTGAAAAGTTGATATTATTGAGTGTTGTATAAAAAAACTAAATCCAATCCTGAATTTTGTCTGTCGTATTCAATGAAATGTGCATGAAAAGAAGGATTGACCTAAATAACATACACACACACACACACACACACACACACACACACACACACATACAATATATATATATATATATATATATATATATATATAATTTTGAAACTGAACCACATTTTAAAATATAAAAATCGACTTTCTATGGTGCGTCCATTATTTTTTGTTTTTGTTTGCCTTGTATTGTATATAAAACATACATCAAATACATATATATATGAATATATATATATATATATATATAAATATATATATATATATATATATATATATATATATATGTTTATAAATCAAAGCTTATCAGTGTGATTAGACATCATTGATTGCTTCAATCCTGACTATTTTGACATCAATCAGGACACCTTAACCCCTAGAATACAGAAAGATAATTCGGGGAAAGAAAAAACACATTATATACATGATATATAAATTCCATACCGGACGCCATAACCCTCAATTCTTACGAAGAGCTTAAAACAACAGCAAATAAAATATACTTTTCTCCATTGTGCTCTCTATATATATATTATATATTGATATATATATATATTAATATATGTATATGTTAATATTTATATATATAAATATATATATATATATATATACATATAAAAACTGTGATATAATATTATTTTTATTATTATACAATATTTTTTCTTTTTTTTGTTTTATTGCCCATTGAATAAGATTCGTACCTTGGTTCAGAAAAAATATATATAAAAATGTTTTAATCATTAAAAATTTTCGATACTCTTTTTAATTTTTTTTGAAATATATATATATATATATATATATATATATATATATATATATATATATATATATATATATATATATGTTAAATCTTTGAAAAAAAATTCTCTCAGTCTGTTCATATCTATATCTTTCTATATCAGTTTATTAAAATCTATCTATCTATCGGTCTTTGCATCTATTTGTCTATTTGGCAGTATTTTATTGACTAATTCGACATTTATCTCTGTTTATATCTGCCTTTTATTTCAATGCTATCTCAAACTATACAGATCTATCTATCTATTTACTTGTAAAGCTAACTAGCTAATTCAGCATCTAATCTGTTTCAAAGATGTCGTTTTTATTCTCAAATCTAAATAACTATCTATCTATCGTTCGATCGATCGATATATCTATGTGGCTGTCTCTATAAACGCATAAACTATTGCTTTCGTTCCGAATTCAGAGAATAATTCACCAGTTTTCTGTTCATATCTGCCTTTTCTTTTCAAATCTATCTCAACCTATTCATATCTATCTATCTATCTATCTATCTTACATTTCTTTCTCACTCTCTTTCAATATATATATGTATATAAATTGATCTCATTATGCCTCCTATTTCTCTCTCTCTCTCTCTCTCTCTCTATTTATCTATCGGCGTATATGTGTGAGTCTATCTATCTATCTATCTATCTATCTGAGTTTGTTCATTATCACTTAATTTATATATTTATCTGAGTCTCGTCATATCTATCTCAGTCTGATTCTATCTATCTATCTATCTATCTATCTATCTATCTATCTATCTAATTCAGTATCTATCTGTGTTCATATCCGCCTATTATTCGCAAAATCTATCTTTTGTTGTTAGCAGCATCTATCTATCTATCACTGTCTCCACACACATATATATATATATATATATATATATATATATATATATATATATATATATATATATATATATATATATATATATTAATAAATATGAATCTCCGTATAAACGTATAAACTATTTTTTTCGTTCTGAATTCAGTGACTAGGGCGAGTACTTCAGCGGTTGTATTACGCGTTAACATCCTCAGAAAAAAACGGAAATTTTTTTTCCATTTGCCATAAATGTTTTTGGCGATTGTTTTTTTGCTTTTCATTTTTTTTCTTATTCTATTTCTTTTCCTTATATTTTATTTTTTACTTGAGGAAGAAACAAAATCTGTTGGAAACGCAAATGTTACGAAATGAGGCCTTTTTACCTCGCGTCTTCGAATTTCCCCTCCGACAGATTTTCTTTTTCATATCCTCGTCTTCTCCAATATTCCGTGCCCCCACCACCAAACCCGGACATCTTTTTTTTATTTTCCTCGAGTTGAGTCTGAAATAACTGTAAACTACCCGGCGGTACAACGCAAATTTGAAGTTTTTTCCATTGATATGTAACAAATCTCCGAGGGCAATATGAAAATATTGAACATGGACTAAAGCAATGCTAGTGTCAATGTGACGAACTAATATCTAAAGGGCTGAAATTTTTTAGAACCCCCCTCCTTTTTAGATCACACATACAAACAAATACACGCATTCACACACACACACACATTTTAACACACACACACAAACACATGTACATGTATATGAATTGGAATGTATTTAATTTTTGTGCAAGGATATACACGGACCTCATTATGCATGCGAATAATATATATGGAGACCATTTCGTGTCGAGGTCATAGAGAGTCAGAGAAAAGGTGATTAACAATACGAAATGCCAGAAGCGTAGAGTTCAGACATTGGTCTAACGTGTTCATATCTAGAATCTATCTAAATATCTATCTATCTATCTATCTATCTATCTATCTATTTAGCTATCTATTCAGCAGATCATTAAAATCTATCTATCTATCTATAGATGAAATCTATCTATCTATTTATCTATCTCATGCCTTCTGTTTTATCTATCTATCTATCTATCTATCTATCTATCTATCAAATCTCACGCCTTCTGTTTCTATATAAATATATCTATCTATCTATCTATTCTATCTATCTATCGATCTATCTATTCTATCTATCTATCTTATCTATATATCTATCTATCTTCCATTTCTAGCTTATCTATCTCAGCCTGTTCATATATCCATCCTGTTTATCTATCTATCTATCTATCTATCTATCTATCTATCTATCTATCTATTCCAGTCTGTTCATATCTATCTTCTTCTTTTCATACCCAAAAATCTATTTCTTTCTGTAGATATCTTTATCTCATTCTTTTCATGTTTATCAATCTATGTTGTTCCGTTCATCCATCTATCTATCTCATATATTTCTTATCTAATAACCTATTTCTTTCTTTTCATCTATCTATCTATCTATCTATCTATCTATCTATCTATCTATCTATCTATCTGTCACCGTTTGCTCGAATCTATCTATCTATCTATCTCATATATTTCTTATCTAATAACCTATTTCTTTCTTTTCATCTATCTATCTATCTATCTATCTATCTATCTATCTATCTATCTATCTATCTATTTCTTCCAGTCTATTCATATCTATCTATCTATCTATATATCTATCTATCTCCCTCTTTTCATATCTAAAAATCTATTTCTTTCTCTACATATCTTTATCTCATTCTTTTTATGTTTATCAATCTATGTCGTTCCGTTCATCCATCCATTCATCTATCTATCTATTTATCTCTTCTATCTATATATATCTCATATATTAAATATCTAATAACCTATTTTTTTTTTTTTTCATCTATCTATCTATCTAATTAAAAATCTATCTATCTATCTATATATATATATATATATATATATATATATATATATATATATATATATATATATATATATATATATTTACAGGTGTCCCAAAAGTCTGGACACAAGAAATTCATTAACTATATTTTTCCTCCGTAAATTAAACATAGTTTTTGTCGAAAGAAGAAAGAATTGACTTCTTTTTTCTGAGGCATGCAAAAGTAGAAGGTGTACTCAATGAAAAGCACAGATGCAACACACTTGATTGAATGCATAAAGAGTGAATATGCTAAAATTGATGGCAATGTGGAGTTATTGCATCGAGTTGACGCGAATCTTGCAAAGCGGATCAAACTTTGCATCACAAATAGGGAAATCATATTGATGATGGTATTTTTTTTAATATTCTAATTCAATAAAATATTGTTTAAAATTTACTTTCTTGAAAATATGTATTTTTGCCTGTGTCCAGATTTAGGGAAACACTGTGTGTGTGTGTGTGTGTGTGTGTGTGTGTGTGTGTGTGTGTGTGTGTGTGTTTGTCTGTGTGTGCGTGTGCTTGTGTGTGAACGCCCGCGTGTGTGTGTTGATCATATTCATGTCCGTAGTCAGTAAGTTTATAGCCCAACCACTAGTTTAAATTTGCGTTGAAATTTGATCTGAAAATTTCATTCGTATGCAAATACTATTCACGAATGTTAAGTGCATTGTCGTGTAAAACCTATCTATCTATCTATCTATCTATCTATCTATCTATCTATCTATCTATCTATCTATCTATCTGAGTATGATCATATGTATCTGTTTTTGTTCATATCTATCTATCTATCACTGTTCGTATGTATTCATTCTCTGTCTGAATGTATGTATCTATCTATTTATCTATCTACCACTGTTCGTATGTATGTATGTATGTATGTATGTATGAATATGTATGTATGTATGTATGTATGTATGTATGTATGTATGTCGCTACCGAGCGTTTATAGCTCAGGGATAAAATCTCTGACTGATGCCAAATCAGTCTGGTTTCGTTCCCGCCTTGAAGCAATAGGATGTCTAGTCCCAATGATGAACTGTGATATTGTAAAACAGTCTGTCTGTGGATGACGATACATTTATATATATATATATATATATATATATATATATATATATATATATATATATATATATGATGAACTCGATTTCTACATTATGATGATCCAACATATTCATTCAGTTTTTATATTTGTGTCGTACGTGACACTTCATTCCCGCTAAGTGACCTGCATAAAAGTCCACATATTGTGAATATTCCCGGGCATGACGATAAACTGCATCCGGCAGCAAGGCTTCTGACCAGGAGATTATGAGGAGCGTGGAACCACATCTGAAGTGTTGTTGTTTCCAAATAGGCCCTGACTCCGGATGGTAGCACCTATTAGAGACCCATTTACATGGATAAATATATAACCCTTCATATATAAAAAATATTATCAACAATATCAACAATATATTTTTGGGTAATATATATATATATATATATATATATATATATATATTAATTAATTGATTTAAAAATGATTTTTCCGCTACACAGTTTTCTAACCATGTTTCAAAAATGGATTACATAATTCCACGAATTTAATTTTGCAATTAAATTAAAGACATTAGTTCCATTTCACGGAAAAAAACATATTTTAAATCAATTAATTTATAATATTAATGCTCAGTAAATTTACATTGAGCACTATTTTGAAAAAGGAAAAATATCTATAAGAACACCGGATTATATATATTACTGTTCTTTTTTTTTTTACTTGAAAAATATATATATATATATATATATATATATATATATATATATATGTATATATTATTTATGTGTTTGTGTGTGTGTGTGTGTGTGTGTGTGTAAGTGTGTGAAAATAGATTTAACTCTCGACAAAAAACGCTCTTTACAAAATACGTCAAGAAACCTTATCTTCAAATTGACTTACAACGATCTCTCATATTCAATTCATACGAAACTATCCTAAAATAACTTGTCGGTATTAAAGAACCCATTGAAGTTGATATGCCGTAAATCATACCAAACTCAAACACGACTCTCGACAAAACCTCTTTACAAAATCACGTCAATGAAACCTTATCGACAAATTGATTTCTTACAAAGAATACGTATTCTATTCATACGAAACAATCTTAAAAATCGTGTCGTCTTTAATAACCGACTGAGGTTGATATGCCATAAAGCAAAATAAACCGAACCAAACAAGGCTCTCTACAAAAAGGCTCTTTACAAAAAACACATCAATGAAACCTTATCGACAAACTGATTTTTTTACAAAAAATACGTATTCTGTTCATACAAACTTATCCGAAAAAATCTTGCCGGCATTAAATAACCCATTTAGCTGTTGATATGCCGTAAAAGAAAATAAACCAAGCCTAACCAAACTGTAGCCATCCTCACCTATTTTTGATGAACATGATGGCTAAAGTGAAGACTAAATTTGACTTCTTTTCTCTTCATCTATGCCTAATGCTTTTGAGTTGTGTAAATTTATTATTGTTTTTCAAAATACATAAAAAAAACAATTTTTGTTTTGATTTTTCTTTTATTTCTAAATACCAGCTTCTAAAATTTTACATGGGTCTTATCCCGCAAAATGTTTAAGAGCTGAACTCATAAAACAATATCTTTAAAATCAAAACACAATTGTAATTCTATAGATAGAAATAAATACGCTCATTTTATGACAGAAAACATGAAAACGTAATTTATGATTTAGCCGTCTCGCCAGGTCTACCGTTAATGTATTAACGATCATCAATATATATGTATATCAAGCTCTTGTTTATAACGAAGTAGCTTTGGCCCTACATATCTCGAAGGCGTTTGACAGGGTTTGATACGCTTGTCTTCTACGCAAGCTCCAGGCTTACGGTATTACAGGACGATTATTTGATTTAATCCAACAGTTCCTGTAAAATCGTGAAATGAAGATCCTCTTGCAAAATAAACCAAACCAAACGAGACTATCACACAAAAAAAAAATCTTTGCAAGGACACGCAAATGAAACCTGATCTACAAACTGATTTCTTACAAAGAATATATATTCTGTTCATACGAACCTATCCTTAAAACCTTGTCATCATTAAATAACTCATTGACGTGTCGTAAGACAAAAGGAACCAAATCTAAATGAAATATATTGTACAATAGCGAGGATCTCATGACATAGCAACAGCAATATTTGCTGACGCTTTTTTCCGTAGATTTTCGTCTCTTGGCCTGAACAATACGAATGTTCTTGAGATTTCTGATACAAAACTGAGACAAATAGAAATATCTCCAGATATTTCTATGCAGGCTAACTCGATCGTAGATAGTATGAGACATATTGACAGCTGAGATTTTAAAATTCTTTGTCTTTAAACCTGAGTAGAGCTGTCCAACAGTCCTTGTCAATTGTCACTGGGAATAAAAAGGACTTTCATTATTCTGTCAGGAATTCATCCATGCAATATGACCAGCCCAGCCAATTGCACCAGGAAAATCTTATTTGCATCAATGTTGCATTTGCAAGAAGATATCATTGAAGGTTTGGAATGGACGAAGTCTATCTGCCACAGATTGCATATTGGAGATGAATCTGTGAACACACACACACATAAAAATCTAAAAAACCAAAAGTAGTTTCACACACACACAACGTGTGTGTGTGTGTATAATTGTCGAAATTAAAACAATCTTTAAAATTTCAGTCGCCCAACAATTTCCAACACCGCGACTGATTGATGAAATCGCTTCGATCTCTGATACATACTTATCCCACGTTGTGATTTGAGTTAGATCATAAGGCGGCCAAGATCGAATCGTCGCAGGTATCTTCGTGTTGGGATAAAGCAGGGCGAAAGGCGTACAGGGAAAGAAAATAACACTCGAATAAATGGAACAAAAACAAAATACTGTTTTTATATCAGTCCTTCGTACAATAATTGGTTATATCAGAATCGCATGCAATTAATTATAAGCCCAACCTTGAGTCTCGTACAAATCGGAAGTGTGTTAATATTGTTGACTTGGTAAAGAGGTTGCTGTTTTGGTAAAGTTCGACACAATACTATTTAAGTCGAGGGATTCTCTTCGGCAGTGTGGTGAACAGCGTTGTAGAATTGAAGCGAGCCAGAGTGGCTTGCATCTGGAGTCATCATTCATCGGGCGGCAATACGTACATCGGCAAGATTGTCCCGACAAAAAAAATTACTCTCCCCTGTTTGTTTTCCAGAGAAGAGTTTTTTTTTGTGCAGTTTCTTTAGCAATTTTCAACAGCAAGCCGCGTGCTGATTGGTCGAACTGGTTTTCCTATGTTTTGCTTTCTATAACGTGAGATATAAAGCGAAGAACGCTGATTGGTTTGTCGACCGCAGTGTTATATGATCAAAAGAGGGCTGAAGCAGTGATAAATTAGAACGAAAGTTTGATATACGCTGTGAATTATAGAAAGCAAGAACGACGATTTGGACCAGCGGTATTCTTTATTTGTACACGGTTTGACGCCGTTTCAATACAGACTTATTTAAATTACAGGCAGTTACCACGACCGGTGGCTGGGACGAACTCTCCGCCGTTTCTCTCCTGTCTCCGTCAACATTTGTATTTATTGACATTCGCCCAAACTGACGAAGTTAGATAATTCGATTATTTGTTTTATTTTATTTTATTCTCACTAAACCTTTACCAATATTGGTGGGATTATTTCCCCATCATCCTGGAATAAAATAAAAACTTTAATGTTGGGAATCAAGAATCCAAATTCGTTGTTTACGAGAAATGAAATTTTCACATTTACAGCTTGCATTTTCAGCTGTGTAGGACACATGTCAATCATTATTATAAGTCTTCCATAGTTCAAGCCCTCGACACGTCGATTCCATCTATATGTGAATTAAGGACGTTTTTTTTCTAAGGGATTTTTTTAACCCTATTGTTCCAAAGTCTTTTTTATAATTTTCATCTAAAAATAAGTTTATTGTTTTACCAAATTTTTTCTTCTGTTTATTATTCAAAGACCGAGACACACACACATATACACACACACACATCAAGAATTGTGTGTATCGGTATATATATATATATATATATATATATATATATATATATAGATATATATGAAAAAAGATTTAACCAAACTAGAAAAGACAATATTAATGAATAAAAATGACAATGGGAAATCCACGGGCTGATGTTAATTTCTCCATTGTGGACGTTTTTATCAATTTAAAATACGAAAAATGAAATTAATTGAACCGTGTAAAACTAATAAATTCAACCATAATTTTGATTTTAAAAGCCCTACATTTTTAAAAAAAAAAAGAAAATAAATCATTCAGAAGGAAAATTCTGAGAGTGCCGCCATAGAAAAATTACCTAAATATTAATCTACGCCCAGGTTTTTTCCTTATTTCACCTTTCTTAACAAAATTAATGCTCTTACAAACAAATATTCACAACAGATTCATAAAAAAAAAAAGAAAAATGGTTGAATACATCAACACAGATATAATGACAATATTCTCCACACGTGACAAATACTGACGTTATTTTTCAGTTAAAAAATATGAAAATAGCGTTTCTCTACATTCCAGTTAATGACCTATAATATGTTTTGTTTTTATTAGTTAGCTTGTTCAATTAATTTCATTTTCGTATTTTGCTTTGATATATCACATATATATATGCAGTACGTAAATTAACCTATACATTTTTCTATTAATAATTTTATGGTAATATATATGATGGACTATATATATTATAATATGATATTAAGCGCGGTAGATTTTCGGTAAGGTCTCATCCTTTTACATTTGAAATATATAAGATTTTGACCATAAGTGATTATTGAAAAATTTTTTTTTATCGCATATTCATTTGTGGAATTTCCTTCCGATTCTTTTTTGTGTTCCAGTCAACTTTCATTCATTTTTATATATATATATTTATTTTTTTTTCATTTTTATCAATTTTTTCATTTTTATTATATCTTCCACATAGTCCATTTTTCGAAACCGTATTAATCAAACACTAAGTCACACAATACGTCTCAATGACTTTATCACCTTGGTTAGGGCGAAATGATTTAAAAAAAAAATGGAATTTATGTAATTTGCGTGATACAAGAGGGTTAATGATAATATATTTGATTTGAAATATCAATCGTTTATCAGTAACATAATTAGTTCAGTTTTCTAATATTTTATACTGTTGTTGTTAAATAGATAGATAGATAGATAAATATTTGATATGTATAGATAGATAATATAAAACAAAATAAAATCGCCATGTTAGATAATAAAAATACGATTAGATAGATTTCGAACAGTCTGGATGAATAATGAACATTTGAAATAATGTAAATCAATTTTGATCATATATATATATATATATATATATATATATAAACTGAGAGAGAGAGAGATAGATAGATAGATAGAAGATATGAACAAAAAATCGAATGATAGATTAAAAAGAAAATGATTATAGTTATTGGTTTATAGACATGATTTTGAAAGATAAATAACGGATAGATTAGATAGATATGAACAGATAGATGAGGTCCATCGAGAAAGAGAATGATATATTTGAATAATATCATTTATTCATGATTAATGGTTTAAACAGATAGATCACATAGACACACCACACACACAGACACAGACAAATATCATGTATTACATAAACATACACACATAAATATATATATATATATATGTATGCACGCATATTAGATAGAATATAGTATATATATGTATATATATATATATTATTTGACATCAAAGATTTTTTATTAAATGTATGGTTCAATGAGAAATCGTTTTTTAGGAAATAAAAGATCGATTCTTGAATGTGAAAATTTATTGTCGTTAAAAAAAAAAAAAGTACAGAATTGGAAATGGTTAAATATATATATATATAACGATAAAAAAATATAAAAATATTCTTCAGAATTTATAAGATTATATATTGAAGATAGATATATATATCATTTGATATTTGATAATAGAATATTTTTGAAGAATATTAAGACACAACATTTTAATTTTAATTTAATAAAATATCGAAGTACTATTAAGATAGATAGATAGAAAAAAGGATGTAAATTTCAAGAAGATAACATATGAAATATAATTTAAGTAGATGAGGAATATATATCATAATACTTGAGAAGATATAAATGACAAGATGATAAATGAACCCAGAAAGTAAAAGAGAGATTTAGATGGAGGGGATTTATTTGAAGATAGATTCTGGAAAATATAAAAGATATTTGGTCCATCAAAAAAAGAAACTTACAGAAGAAAGGTGGTGTGGTTCTGTTGTAAATTTATGAATGTAAAAATGAGAAAATATTTATGAAAGGAACCTGACATGGTTTTGAAAAAAGGCAGTTAGTTATATCCAATATATATTGAAATGAGATTCAAAACGATTAATTTAAGCATCTGTGCTTTTTTGTGGAATTAAAATTAACAGGAGTTAACTGAAAAATGAATCCAATAAACATGGCACGTGGAACTATGTTGTTTCTTTTTTTATGAGCGAAAGTTTCAATTCCATTTGACATTCCAAAAAGTTTAAAGAAGTCATAATATACAAATAATGAAAATGTTTGTTGAAAAATAAAACAAAGAAAGGACAATGTGGGGAATAATGTAAATAGACTAATATTTCTTCCGAATAATCTAATTAATAGAAGAAATATTGACACTTGACTGTCGCATTACGCTAAAATATATGCAGCTTTAAAAAAAATATAAACATATATCATTTTAAGTAATTATTAAAAAATAAATAAATTATGAACTCCGTTATTGAATTAGATATTCAGGCATTCAAAATGAGTTATGGAGAAAAAATTACAATAATTTATAGTTTGAAAAAAAATAGTCTATAAAGCAGGAATGAAAATACGAAAAAAACATTTTATTTCATTTTTTATTGTTTCTTTCGCGGAAAGTTGGACAAAACATAGAAATAGGAAATATTATATAAACCATATTAAAGAAGAAAAAATAAAAACAAGAATAAACATTTCTAAGAAAGATAATTAAGACGGATATTAGGTTATTTTTTGCAAAATTTTCGAAATGTATTTAGTCGAACAAAACTCAAATAAATTTTGTTTAATGCATTTTCCAAATGTTATAAAAAAATTAAAATTTTTGCTTAGAATTGTAAAATAATAACAAATTTTGAAAATGGAAGTTATAAATTCTGAATTAATGAAAAAAATATAGTATCAAAATTTTTTTTGAACATTTAAAGATCCAACCATATTTTTGTTAACGAAATAACAAATTTCGGTTTGAAAAAATTAAACGAACAAGATAAAAATTAAAGGATTTTCAAGAAAAACTCAAAATGAGTTGAATACTTCCATTAATGATGAAAAATTTATATTTATAAATATATATATATTGCAAAAAATTAGTTATTAAATATTTTAATAAATTATAATTTTAAATCAAAATTAATTTTAAAAAAATTTTTGTTTTTTTTTAAATCAATTTTTTTATAAAAATTAATTCATTTAAAATACAAAGTTTTATATGCATTTATAATTTTCAAAGTATTTACAATTTGCTTGCCGAATAAAATTATCACAATCCTTTTTTTCGGCAAGGTAATATTTTAAATTTAAACGAAAGGGAAAGAACATTTTATTAAAAATTTTATTTAAATTTTTAAAATTTAACTCTCTATATTTATTGTAGGTATGAAATCTGTTGGCTAAATTAAAAATAAATTACGAAAAATTTGTTTATTGAAAAAAGAATTAGTTTAATTATATATGGAAATGAATATATAAATAAAAAATATGAGGATTATAAATAATAAATGATTTGGAATATTTTATATTTTTTATAAAATTCATATTTAATAAATTTATTTTCAAACAAATACGAAATGAGTTGCAAAAATTATTAAAAAAATATAAATATTTTTTTATTTTATTAATACAATTTTAAAAGTTTTTATATTTAATTTATAGAAAGAATTAAATTTTTGACATTTAAATAACCCAAAAAAAAAAAATATTTTAAATGGAAAATTTGTTCAAAAAATCAAAAATAGTCGTAAGATCAGTAAGATTAATTTCAATTTAGAGTTCGAAGATGATAAAGAACGAATATTAAGATGAAAAAAAAAAAAAAAACATTCATTTAGTTTTTAAATTTATTTAAAATTTTATTATAAAAAATTGAAACTTAAATACTTGTATTATAAAAAAAGAACGTTAAACATAAAAATTTTTTATAAATAAATTGTTTTTTTTGAAAAAAATTTACATTATATATAATAATTTAATTAATAATTAAAAGTCGAATGATTTTAAAAACATTCTCCTTTTGTAAAAATAAATCATTTACAATTGGAGAGAAAATGGAAAAACAAAAAAAAAAAAAAGAGAATTGAAAAACTGTTATTTTATATATATATGACATACATTCAATAGACGTATAGCCATCAATGTTTGCAAAAAAAATTTAAATTTATATATATATATATTTATATATAAATATATAATTGATTTCATGGATTTTTTTATATATATTGTTTAATGAAAATTTTGGACCTTTAAAAAAACTTATTTGAAATTTGTCTGGGATCGCAAAAAATTT